GCCCTCCGGAGCCGGCGCTGGGGCCCAGGCAGCGCTGCGCGCCCGCGACTCTCCGGGCGAGGGTTTTCGGCCCCCACTTCCTGGTGCCCGGCTGATCTTTTGTTCCGAGCCGACAGTCTCCCTGCGTGAAGGCGGGCTCACCTCTGCAGCTGGAGCGATCCCGCGGCGGCGCCCGAGGGTCCCGGCGAGGCGGGGGCTGCTGTGCCGGCGCGCGGAGCGCGATTCTGGTGAAAGCAGGGAGAAGGCAGAGTGTGCCCGGGCCTCGGGACCGCTGGGCACCGCTGGCCTTGCCTTGGCACGACTCTGGCTGGCCTCGGCCGGGCCCGGCTCGGGAGCACGTCCTGCCTCTGCGAAGGAGTGGCGCGCTCTGCCCCGGCAGCGGCGCGGCGGAGAAATCTAAACACTTAGCGGGATTCCCCCAACCCCGGCCGGCCCCGCCTCCAGGGAGCCGCGCGGGCGTCCATTGGCCGGAGCCGCCTCATCATTTCGGGGAAATCAGGCTGTTGTAGAGCTAGCGGCGAAGGGGAAGTACAGGGCGGCTGCTCCTCCCCACCCCCTCCGGCCCGGCGCCGCCGCCCCAGGCGACCGCGGGCCCGCCCCGCGCGCTCCCACTCCACCCCCACCCGGCTCGCCCCGGGGAAAGGCTGCCCCGGAAAGGCGGACGTCCCTGCTGGCAGTCACTCCCCCTGATCCCACGTTCTTCCAGCCTGCTATCCCTGTGGCCGTCCCTTACTCTCCTCGCGGGGGAGAGGGCTGTCTATCTCCGGAGCGCAGGAGAGGACAGAGCGCAGGTGTCACCTGGACACCTGCCACTGTCTTCAAAGGGGACACTGAGGCGGAATCTCCGAAAACCAGCCTGACTTCTCAAGCTCCGTAATGGGGTATCAAGAGGGGAGAGTTTTGACCCTCACATTGACCCCGTCTTGATTTCCCTCCCTTCCAGGGCACTCACCTGCCCTGGGGAAGTTATGGAGACCGAAAATCTGCCCTTGTCTGGCACGCTGTATGGAACTACAGAACAAGTGACAATCCCAAACTAGCCACTGCTTGTACTGCCAACAGGGGACTGAGGACTCAATTTCCTCAGCTCCAAAATAACAACAGCCCTACCTTGCCGAGATGCAGGGATGGAGAGAGATTGTGTGTAAAGCACCAGCCTCTGCTGAGTGAGTGATGGTCGGTGTCCCTGTGTGACGGGGCGCCAAGTCCCTCCACCCCCTTTCAGTCTGCATTCCCGGGACTGTCCCTGGCCAGCCATAGGGAAAGGAAGGAAAAGCCAGGATTGTAAGTGGGTTTGGCGATGGAGTTGCTTGGAGGTTATCTGCCTCAGGTCACCTGCACGGCCTCATGTGGCCCTTGGAAAGGAGCTTCTCAATGATAGTATGGGTGCCCTCTCTGGGCTCCAGGGCTTGGCCCGGAAAGGATCTGGGCATCTTGGAAGAGTTACTCAGGGCTGGCCAAGGTCATGGGTCTAGCCAAAGGGATACCAGCACAGGTCCCTGGCCACTTGGTAAGGACACCAACACAGCACAGTGCTACAAATAGACCCAGCTTTCCTGTGCTCCTAGAGACTTGGCTGGGAGTTCTTTGTCCATTCAGAACTCTGGCCTCCCAGGCTCTTTCCTTCACCCCACAAACATGCTGATCCAGAGTAAGTTGCTTTTCCAGGTTTGTCACTCCTCACCCCAGCACTCCCTCCAGGACAGCGTCCGGACATAACAGTGCAGCTATGGGTAAAGGCACTGATGCTATCCACCTGTCCGTCACTCCTCACTTGGCTGCCTTCCCTCCTGCAGAGGGAGGAGATGGGTTAATCCAGTTCTGGCACACCAGAATCTGAGCACTGTGACTGACGCCAAGCCTGGTTCCCAGGAGACCAGAAGGAATGGGTCAGAGCTGTGTTCCAGAGACCGGTAGGTCAGGAGCTGGGAGAGGCAAGAACTTAGGGGAGGGAGCCTAGCTGGAGGTATTAAGCAAAAGGGAAGGCAAGGAGTCCCTGGAATGGGGAGATGGAGTTGGGGTACTTTGAGTAACAAATGGAGTGAGAACCTGCTAAAGGGACCAAGACCTTCTGAGCAAGAAGAGCAGGAAACAAGTGATCCTGAGTCACGAAACCTGTTATCTGTGCAGCACACTGATGCTCCTCCCGTGCCCCTGAGAACCTGACACAGGCACTGGAAAATTCAGAATGAGATTAGAGAGAGGAAGTTTGCAACTTTTGTGGCCTGAGGAATTGACCACAGTGACCTCGTAGAGGCATCAGGAGTTTGCGAAAAGTGCTTTAAAACAAAAACTTTATTTTAATTCACAGACAATAACCAGCGTATATATGGATGCACAGCGAGCATCTTTCTGTGTCGTGACATGGACTTCTGCAGCATCCTTTGTAATGGATACATACTGTTCTCTCGTAGGATAAATGAAAATTTACCCAATGAATCCCCTAGTGTAGGACATTTAGGTTATTTCCATTTTTTCATCATACAAATAACACTGTTAGCTAAATCTTGTGCACATCCATCTGTGTGCCCGTCTCCCTGGCTTAGGAGAAATTCCCCAGTTAGGATTCACCTAGCTAGGATTTATGAAACTGTCATTTACGTCTTAGCGGAGTTCTTTGACTTTTTTATTTTTCACTTTTAACTTTAGGGATTTTTGTTTGTGTTTTGAATACGATACGAATTTGCTTACCATTGACTAGGGTTGCTAAACTCCTGACCACATAAAGAAAGCTAAACACTATTTAAGTACCCCAAGTTTTTATTATAACTGCTTTTGATGAATCCCATTCTAAGATGTCACACACATTCCCTGTGATGCCAAGCAGAACATCTGCCCTAAACTCTTGTTATGCTTTAGCCACTTACTGTCCGATCTTAGGCAAGTTACTATCCCTCTCCGGGCCTCACCAGTTTCCTCATCAATAAAATAGAATCTCTGCCCATCTCTAATTGTTGGAAAGATGAAATTAAATAAACTATCAAAATTCTTTTTTAAATGATAAAATGTTACTCAAGCGAAACGTATTAACAGGAACCTTTCACTGCATTTCTATTCTCTAAACACATTTTGTCTTCTTTCCCTCATGCCTTTGCTTCTTCCACCTGCTCCTGTCTTTCTGGGATGCTTAGTAACACTCATCTTCTCTCAATCTCCACCTTCCTGTCCCACCTCCCCCTCTATGAAGTGCTCCAAAGCATCCACCCAGGGGTCTTTCCCTCCTTCAAACCTTTGGCTTTCAAGAGTTGTCTTTTCACCACTTATCACCTACTGGATGGTGTCCTTCTGGAGAACAGCCTGCATCTTTCTGTAAGTGACCTGAGCAGTTCCGTCACACCTGGAGTTATGGGGGAGAGGGGACTAACTGAGGGTGACCATTCAGCCTCCTCTGAGGCAAGATCCCACTCACAAGACGTGTCCCCCCCACCCCCCTGACGTCCATACCTTCACTCACCGGGGAAGCAGCTTCTCTGTATTAACTCCTAGAGTTTTCTGGGCTGGCAGAAGAGGCTGAACGGCGGCGGGTAGCGCCTCCTTAGAGGGGACTTCTGCAGTCACAATGCCAGGGGACACACACACACACACTCGCTATGACAGTGTCTTCCCTGATGACCAGACCCTGTCTCCAGCCACTCCCTCAGGCTGTCAGAACACACTTCACCCACTAGGTGGGTGCCCAGTTAGTCCTGAAGCCCCCTGACTCCTCAGCCCATCACCAAGCATACATGCACATGTGCAATCACACGCACACCCACACGTGTGCACACAGGCTGTGCTATGGTGATGCTGCTGCTGGTGCGTGCCTCAGTGGGGTGCCTGGCACATGACAGGGATGCAGTAAATCCCTCTAAATTAACGTGTTGCCCCTTCCCTCGGGAGCTTGATTTCCTTTTCTGTCTCTGATACAAATGTTTGTTGGTTCCTGTGGTCACATCCTCTGCTGACAGATGGATGTGGGATGAGCGATGTCCCAGAGATCAGAGTTTAGAAGAGCTGGGTGCAGGGCCCATCCAGGCTTGGGCTAGGTTTGTGGTTGGGAGTCTGTCACCTGTCACCTGTGGGTAGCCCACACAGGGGACCTTAGTCCCCAAAGCAAACCTGTCAGTGTTCCAGGTCCAAAAGTGGGACCCTTCGAGGTGCTCGAAGCCCACCCCAGTCATCTCTCTCTCTTATCACCAAAAACCCTGAGAGGCAAGAAGTCCTAAGCTGACATGCAGAGCATGGGTGAGGCATAAAAGCATCCCAAAGCACCCAAAGGCCTCAAGGCAGAGGCTAGACACCATCCCTCTGCCTGTGAGAAGCCTCCTAGGGAGAGAATGGAGGTCTTTTCTTAACTAACTCAACGCATAATGGATCCCTCTCCTGCTCTGGGTCAGTTCCAGATTTGGCCCTGGGGATATTTCAGAGCACGAGACCAGCCCTTCCCCTGTCAAAGTTTTGGCAGAAATGCCGTATGACACAGCACAATAAATGGAGTTTATTGCGCTGTTACAAAAATCTTAAAGGGAGAGTGGGAGGCCGCAGCCGGCGGGGAAGGCACCAGGGTCCCGCGACGCAGCGGCGGGGGTGGGCGGAGGACGACGTGCTCCAGCGCTCTGAGCTGTTCCGGAACCCCCTGCGAGCCGCGGGGTGATAGAGTAGGCTGCAGCCGCTGCTGGGGCCGAGTTTCATTTCTTATAAACACGGCGTTGAGAGGAAAGAGCCATCAACTTCCCAACCACCCCGTGGGGCCCTGTGACTGGGAAGGCTCAGGAGCCTGGCCCAGCGGCCACGACCCAGAGCGAGACTAGACCGGAACAGCACCCTCGTTCCCCCAACCCCCCGCGAAAGTCCTGCAGAAATGCCCACGCCCTCTGGTTTGCCCAGGGTGGCGCTGGCAGGCTCCTCGGCCTCTTTAAGAGCAGCGGCATCTCTACTTCGCCCGGGGAACCCTCCCCGCCCCCCGCCCCCAGAGCCCACGCTGAGCCGAGGGGGCGTGTTTGGAGGTGAGGGGGCACTGGCTTATGGGGTCAACATCCCCGGTGGCCCCCAGCTGGGGGTGAGTCGGGGTGACCGGAGGGCTCTCCGCTGGCCAGCTTCCTGGAAAGGGAGGGTGAGCGGGAGAATCGCAAAACCTCCCAGGATTGTGGCGCAGGCTGCAGCCTGGGACCGCCCCTCCGCCGCTGCTAGCTGGCTGCCCCGCCCGTGCCAGCTTTTCACCTGCCCGCGGCCGCACACTTCCTTCTCCCTCCCTGCCCAGCCTCCCGCTGCGGGCCATGGGTTTGCTGCCAGTAACTCAGCTACAGGCTGTGTGGCCTCGGACAAATTGCTAAATGTCTCTGTGCTCTCCCCTACACACACACACACCCCTGCCCCGCGTCCCCCGGAGCTGGAGCTGGTACACTCGGGTGCG